TTTGCAGAGGATGTAAAAGGCCAGCAGGTGCTTGGGGCTGTTATTTATATTGTTGACAAACCTTGCAATTTTGCACGAACCTTTTAACTTCATTTTTCATGTCTCTCCAGAAAAAATGCTGTTGCAGCCATTTTAAAGTCTTCAATGTGCCCCCATGACCCCCAATAGGTGCTGTATGAGCGTCCTCGATCAGCTTTGTACTTAAATCAGAAGGAGCAGGAATGACCAAACGGTCTTTATAATAAAGGCGTCCTGCAGAAAATGCAAAGTCTGGCATAGAATTGGTATTAGATTGTAGGGACTGAATAATAGATGCAGTGTAATCATCACGTTGTAACAGTTCAGGCAAATCATCAAAGTCTGTCACATGAGGTATTGCAATAGCAAAAAGATCTGACATATGGGGCAGCGAGAGAGAGCATCAACACCCTGATTAGATGTACCAGCTTTGTAAAAAATTTGGAAGTCAAAAGGTAATAGCTTCATCAATAATCGTTGTTGCTCTGGTGTAGTGACACGCTGCTCAAGCAAATATTTTAAGCTACAATGATTAGTGTAGACATCAAATTTCCGGCCAAGGAGATAATGTTTCCATTTTTGCAAAGCAAGCACTAAAGCCAACAATTCCCTATTGTAAACAGATTTGTAGCGATTGGAAAAAGACAATCCCTTGCTGAAGAAAGCAATAGGATGCCCATTCTGTTGCAGAACAGCACCAACTCCTGTAGAAGAGGCATCACATTCTACTGAGAACTTAGCAGAAAAATCTGGTAACTGTAGGACAGGCACATTAATCAAGGCTTGCTTCAGGTTGAGAAAAGCTTTGTTGGCATCAGCATTCCACTGAAAGGAATCCTTCTTAGTTAGATCAGTCAAGGGTTTAGCTATCTGACCATAGTGTTTAACAAAGCACCTGTAATAACCAGTCAACCCCAAAAATCCTCTGAGTTTTGAAACATTTTGTGGAAGAGGCCAATTAGTGACTGCATTAATCTTTTCTGGATCAACAGCAACTCCATTTTGTGTTATGATGTGACCTAAGAAGGTAATCTCCCTTTGAACGAAGAGACACTTCTTGGGATTAGCAAAGAATTCGCTGTGCTGTAAAGTGTGCAGCACTATTCTCAAATGAGACATATGTTCTTGGAAATCCCTGCTGTACACTAAAATATCATCAAAGAAATTCATAGTGGCCAAAGTGTGTCCTGAATGTAGTTTTAGGTATGTCTTCAGGCAGAACACGAATCTGGTGGTAACCAGACCTAAGATCTATCTTTGAAAAGTAAGAAGAGCCATGTAACTCATCAATAAGTTCATCAATATTGGGAATTGGATACTTATCTGGTACAGTAATCTTGTTGAGTTCTCTGTAGTCAACACAAAATCTCCAAGTTGAATCTTTCTTGGGCACTAATAGAACTGGGCTAGCAAATGGGCTAACACTAAGCCTTATGAAACCTTTGATCTGCAATTCTGCCACTTGTTTTTCTATTTCATCTTTCTGATAATGAGGACATCTGTAGGGTCGAATATTTGGTAGTATAGCCCCAGGATATAAAGGAATGGCATGACTATGCTCTCTTATAGGCGGAAGCTTTTTAGGCTTTGCAAAATCCTGTGAATAAGCGCCCAATAGTTGTTGCAGATACTGTTCAGGCCAAGATAAGTCTTCTGTAGACATGAAACTGTGCAAAGATGCCTTTGTACGTTCAGATTGAGGTGTCCCCTGAAGCTTGTACCTCTTGCCATTCACCCAAAAGATCATGTACATCTTTTGCCAATTTGCTTCCACGGTATTGAGAGAAGCTAGCCACTTAATCCCCAAAACCATGTCAGCCCCTCCAATAGCAAAAGGGAAGAAGTCATCCTTGATGGTCAGACTTTGCACCTGAATTTCCACTTGCTTGCAAACAGATCGGCAGGCAATGATATTCCCATTTCCAATCTGCACTCCAAAGGTAGGGATCTGCTGTGTAGGAATCTTTAATTCTGCCACAATCTTCTCATAAATAAAATTGTGGGTAGAACCACTATCAATCAGGATAAGGACAGGTTTAGATAAGAGGGTGCCTTGCAATTTCATGGTGGATGATGTAGAACCACCCAAAATTGCATGAAGTGAGATTTCAGCAATATCATTTTCTTCAGCATAACTTGAGGTGGTGTTCTCCATTGCAGGTTCGTCACAATCTTCTGTGATTTCTAAAAGCTTAAAGGAAGATGGTTTGCAACGGTGGCCAGGAGAGAATTTATCTCCACATTTAAAACAAAGCCCTTTCTCTCTCCTTAACTGCTTGTCACTTTTGGAAATGTAGGAGGGAGTGGTAACTGACGCTGAAGTGCTAGAAAATGTCAAGGGTAACTGCTTCTGATTGTGAGATGTGACATTAAATGATTGAATTGGCCCAGCAGGAGCAGTTACTGTATTTTTAGGATAATAAAATTTATTATCCTTAAAATTATAACCACTCTTAGTGCCACGTGTTGATATGGCACGTTGAACTGGACGAGAGGCTTGCTGGGCTTGTAATTTTAATTCAAACTCCATTGCTAGGCTGGCTGCTTTGTAAACGGTTCTGGGCTTTTGAATTTTAACATCATACTGTAACTCCTCTTTCAACCCATTAATAAAAACTCCAAGTAAACAATGCTCAGGCCACCCATGTACTCTAGAAACCCTTCTGGCGAACTCTTGTCTATATTCATGGACTGAACCAGTTTGCTTGATATTACATAAATGAACATCTGGATTTTGAAATTCTGCTGGACCAAAATGTTCCTGGAAAATCTGAATTAAATCTTCCCAATAACTAATGGTTCTTCCCAAAGAAATCCAAGTAAAAACATCAAGAGCATCACCCTCTAAATTCATAGCAGCCACATCAACTTTTAATTCTTCAGGGGTTTGATAGTACCTAAAATATTTTTCTGCCTCCATCACCCACCCTCTAGGATCTCCACCTTCATATTTTGGAAACTCCACCTTAGAATGTGGTTGCTTGGATGGATTTTTACTCCACCAAGGAGAATCATAATCATTCTCTTCTTGTTCTGTATGCATAGTCCTTCTATTTTGCATTGAGGGAGAAATCACAGGATCCTGCACTTTCGTTGTCTTCAATTCATTGATCTCAGCATCCATTGTATTCAACTGTGTCACAATGATTGATAATTGTTGCGTTATTAAGTCCCGAGAAGAAGCACTCTCAGGTTCGTCTCGATGTGAATCTTCTGTGGCTTCCAGGTTAGGATTTTGAAGAAGTGGAGGGTTGGTTGAGTCATTTTTCTTTCTAGTATTCACCATTTTGTCACCACAGCCCAAGATTGTTAGGCTCTGATACCAAAATGATAGGGCTTAGGAAATTGAGAAGTAGAATTTAGAAGAAAAGAAAGAATCTGAGAAATGGGAAAGGAAGGAGAAAAGAATATCTAGAACCAGAATCTGTAATTCTAGATAGAGACAAAGAAAATATACTGAATAATACTCATTCCATTCATAATACTGCATATAAGAGTAGCTTAAATAGTCTGACAATACAATAACTGGAAATAACTACCTCCTAACTTCATGACAGAGAAAATAAGATAAGAAACTGAAAATAACTGAACTTGAAATAACTTAAGTCTGCATAACCACCCTTACATAACTTCAAGCTTTATCCAACCGTGCCTTCCTTGAATAAACAAGTAAGGGACGCTGGACTCTAACACAAGCAAATCATTCCCTCTTCAACCTTCTCTTTGATGACATATTTGTCCACTTCAACATATTTGGTTTTGTCATGTTGAACCACCTTATTATCATAGTAGAGTTTTATGACTAAACATCAATTTGTAGCTCTCTTATCTGCATTTGGAGCCAAAGTCTCTCTCAGCTTCTATAGGCACTCACTTGGTTTGTATCTTAGCATCCTTATGTTAGTTTGAAGATAAAGAACGTCTTCTTTACCATTTTTTATTTCTTAACCTCTATGTTGAATACATATCTTATTTGTCACTGGTCTTCCACCTTGAACTCATTTAGCTGGTACCTTCTTTAGTCTTTTAATTTGATTATAGACTGCTGACTCCAATTTTTGCCAATCGTCATTCCCAATGATAGGCATTGAAAGGCATAAATGGGAAGAATTTAGCACTATAGTTGGATTGTTTTGGCAAAAATGAGTTACAAGCTTGTTCAGGCATATAAAAAATATATTCTAAAACTACAGAAATAGAGATGCAAATGCGTCTCTTCTGGGCATTGATGAGAGAGAGCCACCCAAAGTTTCCAACACACGAGTGTATAACAGGAAAATAATTATTGGCTGGAGGGCATTTCTGGATGAGTCTTAATGATTCCGTAGAATCACTATAAACACAGACTCTGCTGTAACTTTGTGCCCAGCTGCCTCATTTCACAAGCCGTGGGAAGGAACCTATAGGTCTTCCAGAATATATTCTAAAACCATAGAAATAGAAATGCAAATGCTCCTCTTCCATTGATGAGAGAGAGCCACCCAAAGTTTCCAACACACAAGAGTGTGCCTATTCCACCTATTGCAAGTCGGATTGCCTGTGCCCACTTGTGATACTTTCCTCTTGGTGGCAACCTTGGTTTGAAATATTAATCTTAATTGAGTATTTATGGAAAAATGATAAATATATATTTTTTGCAAAGAATTTATTAATGTTTGTTGAATTGATTAGTGATTCAGGAGGTATTTAGATTGGATAGAAACCATATCATGATTTTAAAAGTGATTTTACGGAATATGAAATAAGTATGTGAGAAGAATTTTGCCTCGATTGACATGAAAGCATTTTTTAAAAGCGCTTTTTATTTGAGCATCTCTGGTGAAATCTGTGAGGAATGTGGTGGTGTATGGGTAATGAGTCTAATGTAGCAATTATAGAATAATGTCGTAAAATGTTGCTGTGCAGATTGTTGTTTTAAGCAAAGAAGCTAAGAAAGAGGCTTCATGTGCTTTTTGCTAAGAACCTGCTTTCCCTTTTTATAGGCTTTTTGCAGAACTGGGAGCAGCCACCATCACAGGAGTACGAGAAGCACTTCTAATCTGTCCCTCGATTTCTCTAATGGGGCATGATTTATTGGTATGTACTCATCAAGTCCCATGTTGAAAGTCACTGGCTCTATACCGAAGCGATTGCTGCTTCCAGATTGTTTCTTATAAAGGATGCTTTCTTAAATGATCTGTTTGGAATAACGTGCTGATCCCTTACCTTACATTACCTAGATATTCAATGTTAACAAGGGTGACTCTCTTGTTCTGTATTTTATGATTTGATATTAATATGGACTCTCTCTCTCTCACAGCGAGAAATTGTCTGGGCTCATCATGCCTTTTGAATAGATTCTTTCTTCAACTACGGCGACTCACCCAAAATAGGAGCTTTCACTTCAGCAGAAGGCAGGATACCATTAAGTTGTGGAATGCATGAGTCGCAAAACACCTGATGAAAACGTTTCTGCAACTCTGTTTTGTTCCTTGTAAATCCTCGGGGATCAAACCATCGTGGAATTTCCGGGCGAAGTCCTGCATAATCAGTTTGTGAACCTTTTCTCTTTTTATAATTAAAAATCAATTTGTAAACCCTTGTGTTGCTTTCTGTACCATTATCAATGGTGGTACCAAGTCGTGTTTTAAAAGGTAGCGTGGAATTAAGCCAGGATATCCTCTTCCTCCATCCCTGTTCACCCTTATTCTTTGTTTCTAGTCTTGAAGGTTATATGTTCATCCTCTGTATTAATCTTTTTACTGTGGGCTGGTCGGGGTAAATGTCCATGATAGGATTGTGAGAAATGAGATGGCTGGTTGTGGGGTTTCATCCATTTGTTTCATTTGCGGTAGCTTATTAGCTTCATCATTTGCAGGTCCTTTGGTGGGAAATTATTGCCGAAAGTCTTGGCAACTGAGATGATATTTTTTCCACTCTTTATGGGTAGGACACTTTAGTATAAATAGGTGGAGTCTAAACACCCCTCTACTTGGTGGAAAAGCAAATCAAGAGGGGTAGGGACATTATAAACGAAGATAGGAATATTAGATGATTTAGATCACAACCATGAGAGGGAGGTCAACAGGGTATTCATGAAAAGCAAATGGACCAAGGGATTGTGAACTCAAGATACAATTCTCTTTCATTTAGTTTTAAGAATATATTGATGGTGAGTATTATTATAGTTTATTTCCCAAAAATTTGTATTTGAAAAACATTTCTAATTATACGAAAATTATAATGGAAGATTCATTAATGAGTGCCTACAAAAATCTTAGCCTTCGACTAAACAATCTCACTAAGCATGTCTTCAAATGAGTTAAATGTTCATAATAAGTGCTCAGCTTATCATGCACATGATAATGAAACAGACGCTGATTCAAAATACTATTAGTCTCTAATATAAGATTCACTTTGTATCAGCAAATTCTCCAGTTGGTTACAGGAGTTTATTATGGTCAAATGTGAATTTTGACCAAATTAATTAATATTGCAGTGTTCTCTCTTCAATTATAAATATAGTAATTAGCAACTAATAGAAAAGTTTGTTCTGAAGCATCTAGTTAGGTCCTCGGGATTCAATTCTTGGTGTGTATGGAGAGAATATCATGCCTATGAGTGGTAATACAGGTCAACCTATAGCGCGTGGCGGGTTTGATTCATATGGGGTAGGTTGAAAATAGTTGTTTGAATATAAGACTTATTTTATAATGTAACATATTTAGGATCAAAGAGTATATATATATATATATATATATATAATTTTTCAGATGCAATATAATATATAATAGCATTATAATAATTTTGAAAAATTTTAAATCATGGGTTGGTGGGCTAATCCGCAGCATTATAATGCGGGTTAAAATGATTTGTTTACTAGTGGGTTGGTTTTTAGCCAACTTTAACCCACTATTTTTGGCAAGTTAAGACCATATTACTAGCTCTACTTGTGACTAGTGTAAAGGGATTAGTTAGGCTATGAGCGCAACCAAAAAAAAATACAAAAGAAAAGAAAAATTTGTTTTGGTATTAAATATAATATTTTAATTTAGTTTACCTTTTGGCCAAAATAAAATAGCTTACCTCCCAAATTTATAAATTTTTCTTGAGACATTCTTATTGATTGCGTGTTTTTTTTTTTTTAGCCAAAATTATTAGTTGCATGTATTAAATGAATTTTTATCAATGGGAGTAAATAAAGGAGAGTATTTTAGAAAAAACCAACGCGTAAGATGACTAATTTTTTTAATATTTATACATTAGGAAGGTGACAAATCAAAATGAATATATGACCATCATTTTGATTTTTGTTTTATTTTGACCTTAGCCAATAAAAAGATATGGCGTTAAAATCTCTTCAATATTTTCAATGAAAAACAAATTTGCTTTGATTATTGGGAAAATTAGGGATAAATCTCTCATTAAAAATTTAACTGACAAATAGAGCCTAAGGATTTTGTGCAACTTAACTTCCTTTGTATGTAATTTCTTTCCTTATGTGCAATAATTTTTCTGTGTGATATGCGACTCAACTTTTCTTTATGCAAATGAAATTCTCTTATGTGCAAACTAATCCCTTATATCTAAATAATGTTTTGTGCAAACATCTTTCCTTTGTGCAACTTATCTTTCTTTGTGTGCAACTAATCTTTCCTTGTGTAATCGATCATTCTAGGGGCTGTTTGCTAATTAAATTTCTAATGAGAGATTTATCCCCAATTTTTCTTGGATTATTTCAACGCCCAAATCATCTAGGTTGCATCCAAAATAAAAGGGCTTCAAATTGTTGCCTTACATGATTCTACGGATTTGGATTTGGCATTCTAAGTGGTTTGTCCAATGATTGTCATCTATAATGATTTGAATGTGTTTTATGTCCAATGATTTTGTCATCTACAATGATTTGAATGTGTTTTTAGTCATGAATTTTTATGTAATGTGCAGTAAAATATCCTTGAGAAGAAACTGATAACTAACGGGCACTTGTAGTGGTGGTAATGTGGGTCAATCCGTAGGTTTTGGTTGTGCAAAATGGCTAAAAAGACCTAACTCCACTAATAAGTTGTTGATTGAAATGATAAACAGTTTCATCCTTGTAACATCTCAGGAAGCTGATAAATAACAGGCGTTGATGGGTATAGGTTGAAACAATTCGTATACTGGCCATTTGGCATTTTGCCAATCTTAACCCCGAGGTTAGCGGGTTGAGCCCGCAAACTTGACACATATTACATGTATTAGTTTGATGGAATGGCATTTTGAATGAATGATAATTAGGTTTCTATTTTTTTTAAAAAAAAATAAGTTGTAAATATCAATTTAAGTAGTTGTAATTACAAACTGAAAGTTAGATTTTTGAAATTTAAATGTCTTCTTTCAATTGAAATTCTTGAATTCACAATTTTTGAATGATATTTACAACTTATTTTTTGAAAAAAATTTGTCGGGATCTAACTATCATTAATTAGTTTACTCTTTCAAGACCCAGTTATCACTCTCAATTTGATTGGACATTTATATATGGTAATTATTTTCAATCAACTAAATGAGAATTATGTATATTTTTAAACCAGGTTTACTCTCTAGTCTCTAATTAACTTTTGGTATTAGTGCTTCTACTTTGTTTAAAAAAATTAAATCTACCTTTACGAATTTGATTATAAGAAGTATATAAAACTAAATATCCGAATTTGATCGTAAAGGGACGTGAAGATTCTACTTGCTCAAATGCTTTGTTGCCACAAGACACAAAAGAGGCTTGTCCATTGAAGGTTGAGGTAATTCTAGCAAATCACAATAAGTTCGACCCTTGGTTTCTCGTTGCTTGTGATTTTCGACGGGGGAAGAAAGCGAAGCGAGTAACCCCAAATTCGACATCTTACTTTCTCGCAGATTTAAGAGCTTCAATCATGTTTCACTGCTTCGTTACCTCTTGTTCTCAATATGAGAACTCAATGACTGATTTGAATAGATTAAAAAACTTGTTAAGTTAGTTATTTGTAATAAATAAGTATTATTTTTTCTAGAATATTTTTGTTAATCATGTGTATTTGCTAGAACTATCATTTAATTTAATTTTTAACATGTGTAACTACTACAAAAACTACTTTAAAAAAAAAAGATAAACAAGAAAGACATAATGAATTGGAATCTTATATTTAGAACTAAATTGAATATCAAACTATATTTTTGTTATATAAGAAGTGAAGATACTCTTAAATCTATATATAAAATCATGTAAGTACATTTTGCTATCTTTTGAATTCTTTTTGATGATGATCCAGTGTTATAGACTGAAGCGGCAGTGCAGGAAGGTCAATTAATAAGCCTTGCATGTTAGGAAAACCTATATATAAAAACATGCAATTTTTAGATAAGCTTGCTTGTCTGTGATGCAGTATTTTTTTACCTAACATGCTTTATTGTTTAGAAATCATTTTGCATATATTGGTGACAGATTAATTTTCAAAGATAATTATAGCAAAAGTTTCAAATGAAATGTAACTACAGGCAATTATTATAAGTGGTGGTACCTCTTATGCATATGAGCATTAGTTTGCTGACTTCTCGGTGTTTGCATTCTTTTTTTTTTTTTCCTAAATTGAAAAGACGAGATAAATATATGGGTTAATACAATTTTTAATCCTTCAAGTATACTTTCATTTTGATTTTACTCCTTCAAATTTCAAGTTATAGATTTTGGTTCCTCAAAATTTTTTTCATTTAAAATATTAGGTCATTATAATTCAATAAAAACCTATACTATTTTGCATGAGCAGAATAAGGGCAAACTTAAAGAATCAAAGATATGTTAACCCTAAATACATATACTCGACTCATTATACAACTTAATCTATAATTTTTTAAAGAATATTCAATTGATGACTTTGCATGAGCAGTTTTGTGAGACTGACATTCAAGTATGCTAAGATACAATGATATTCGATCAATGTGGACAAGCCGATGAGTAATTAGATATAAAATAAGATGCAACACAGAATACTCTTTGCTTGACTAACTTGTATGATTATTTAGTCAATAAAAATTAGATCAGAGACCTACCTATTTGTTTCCTATTGCACTCATCTACCACTATGCAATATAATGTTTAAGATGGTCAATGAACTTTATTATTTGCTTTTCTACCTACAATTTAAATGAAGGATTGATGCTTGTAAACAAGAAACTTGCCATCGTATCCCTTTGTTCAAAAATATATAGCTCTTTTCCATATTATTGGTTTATTACCATTTTAGGAGGAAGTTTGGGAAGTGGTTTCTCAATTGATGGGCCAAGCAAGTTAATACTTTAAAAATCATATTCTGCTATATATCTTTGACTTGGATGACCAAAGACTTGTGATGTATCTTTCGCATGACTCTTTTCAACATATAAATCTTAACGTAAAATCACGTTCCACACCATTATTCCAGGTTGCCTTCACAAAATTCATGCAGAGCCAATGTCTAATTTGTTGGATGGGTTTATGTCAGGATGTAAGAATTGCAATGGGGAAGAAAACATTCTAGCATAGTAGAACTTGATGTTTCATAACAGATTACATGAACGCTGAGCGATCTTGACCAAAAAACATGGTCGATTTAGATGAACAAAAATAATGAACTTGCTTGGTCAAAATAAAGAGCAACACAAAAGAACAAAATGAGAAGCTTACTTGACCCAAAAAAAAAAAAAAGCAGCCCAAAAGAAGTCACAAACTGTACAAAAAAGAGCTGGACAAAATAGGCTAAAATGGATGCTTCACTTGGGAGGATCATCGTCAAGAATTGAACTTGTATTTTGAGATGAGATCAATAAAAGTGGTTAGATTGTTTTCTTTCATTATTATAATTCCTTATGAGTACTTGCATTACATATTTGGCTAAAATCCAGTGCTTCAAATGATATGATGTCATAATCAAGTGGTCCTGCAATCAAGAAATAAGAAATAAAAAGAATGTATCAATATGTACACTCTTGAATAAACAAACATAAATCAATGATCCAGTTTTTGAAAAAGGCGAGTTGGATATCTCAAACATGATGACAAATAATTGCAACCGATCTGATAGTTAACGACTCCACAAACATTCATTTATCGAGACTGCTCTAAGTTTGTGCGAAAGTAGCTCTCTATTTTTATCTCTCTCAATGAAATCTCAATTTAAATCCTATATCCCTAATCCAAATTTTATAATCTTTTATTCCTAAATCTTGAGTTTTGACTTGATAATTCCCTAAATCCACTTTCATAATTTTTTAATTTAATAATATTTCCATTAAATTTAAAAGACTAAACTCAACTATCTAACATGTTTAGTATCTACACAGTTAAAATCTTTTGGGTGAGAAAATAATTCATCTATATTTTAACTTAACCTCACTTAAGTTCAATATTTTCTATCCTTTTCTAAGATTATGATTTGATATTATATTTATATCCTTTATATTTAACTTATTTTGGACATATTTTCTCTATTTAAATATTATACGATAAATTCTATTTATATCCTTAATGCTACTTATATCCCAGTATTAAAAATTGGAATGTCATACTCCTTTGAGTCCATTTGTTGAGCATGAAAAAAATTTTGAATTTTCTGCCAATTGTTCAAAATGATGAAATGTACATCCAACTTCCCATATTGCATGGCGTATTGGGTTTTTAATTTAAGGTAATTTTTTACATCATCTCTTGTATATCTCAAATTGTCTCCACCTCTTGCATATTGGCTTTGCAAATTGAATGCTAATTTTTTTTTAATTATTATTAATCCCAGTTTTTTTCAATATTTTCTAATTCAAAATTTTGAGATGGTGTTTAGTCCTCCATGCGATGCAAGTAGGTGAACAACTAGAGGAGGTTTGAAGAGGATGATTATGATCTGAAAAAACTTTACTTATTTTATATTTTACATTTATTAGCTTAACATCCATTTTAACTTTACAGCTTCTTCTTGTCTTATTTCTCTCGCTTCCTAATTTGCATCTCTCATTTATATGATTTTCTCACCTCTTCTTGATTACAAACATGTAGATAAATAAGATGAATATGATGAGTTATTATTTTTATTCTTGTTGAACCTCAGCTATCAAACACCAAAACCTAGTTCTTCTACCATCTGCCTTCCAAAATTCCCATGACTGCTTTATAGCCATGGTATAAGCCTCTTGCGAAATTGAAACTATACGCCCAATGTAAATTAATGATAAATAAATAAAGGTTAAAGTATACCTTTAGTCTTTTAACTTTACACAAGGTTTCACTTTGGTCCCTTAACTTTTAAAAGTAAACTTTTAGTCCTTAACCCTAAAAGTGTTAACAAAAAAATAATGATATTAAGCTCTTGAATGCTATAAAACATTACTAAATGTTGACATATTAAGTTTAATATTCAAAAATACCATAATTGTTACAAAAAAAATCATTATTGAAGACTAAGAATTTTGGAGTTAAAGGACTAAAAGTACTTTTTAAAGTTAAGGGACCAAATTGAAACTTTATATAAAGTTAAAGGATCAAATGTATACTTTAGCCATAAATGAAATAATTACAAATTGTATATGTATACACGCACAAAGAAATATACTACCTCCGATCCTTAATATAAGACCTTGTTTGAATTTTATTTTAGTCCTAAATATAAGACCCTAGTCCACTTTGTCTCTCATATTTATGCATTTTTTTTCCAAAATAATCATTCTAGCATAGACTTGATTAGTAAGAATATTTTAGGAAAGATAACACCTATTTGTTACAAATAACTAACTTAACTTCTTTCTTTAATCTTCTCAAATTAGTCAACTAGCTCTTATAATTAGGACCGGAAGTCGTATTAACCAAAACAGAACATGCACAAACATATGCACCCACAATTCTCTTAAATTTTTTATTTACACTACTACAAAATATGTTATTGACGTCTATTCTATATTTTTTTTTTGTTTTTTTGTCTGTTTAGAGAGATGTAGAGAAAAGAGATATATAGAAAGTAGGCTATATATATGTCTGTACATAAGAAAGAAAAAAAAAAGTGAAATTATTTGCATTCACGGTTCTTGTTACAGCAACATTGTTAGCAATTTAGTAAATCCAAATCATATCACACTCGCATTTTATTTACATCGCCAATTCTTATTACAACTTGCAATTGTATAAAGCAAAACCAAAACAAAGAACAATTTGGTTTAATGTTTTCATCAAGGATAACGTGATCATTTCATGCGCATACTCATTTCTTCTAAAGAAACTTAGTCCTTCACATGATTTTAGGGACCATTACCTAATAAATTTCTCGACTGGGGATTTCCTTCCAATTTCCCAAACTTAAGCTATCCTTTGAACGAACAAAAAAAAAAAAAAGAGGCTTTGCTTGAAAGGAGAGAAAATAAGAAAAGAAATTGTAGCAGACAAAATAGTGAAAAGGAAAATAGAAAGAAAATATTCTCTCTTTATGTATAAATAGGAACAAAAGAAAGCACAAAAGAAAAAATTTAACTAATTTCAAAACATGCATACAAAACAATATATAAGCCCCGTCTCTTTCTTTTGGGGAAATTTTGAAAGAACATATCTTCCCCTAATATTAAGAAGGTATTGGAGAGAAAATATGCGGACTTCATACCTCTTTTTTTATCCCGCAATTTCTCTTAAATTCCCAGGAAAAATCCCCCCCCCCCCCAATCGTTTTATCATGGTATTTTATTGCCATATTTTTCTCTATCCAAACATTAGTTAATGCCATCTGGCTAACCAAGTTTGAGCTAACTCAAATGAGTTGGAATGATATAATGAATTATATATATCTATAACAACAACTTAAGAGTTAGTAAATCACAAATTAATAAATTTGCAACTTAAGCACACGCATTTATATGTTAATATGTATTAGTTCTTTTCTATTCAAAGAATGGAAAATGTTACATATGAGGTCCAAGTGGCATCCGACTCATTATATCTTGATATGCTGACGAACCAGCAGGCACATTAAGCCCGCGGTCTGGAATGGGCTCCAAATTGGGCTCTCCTTTGGGCAACATGAAGCCCATGTTTGGTGGACCTTGATTGGGCAAGAATGGATGAACAGGCATGACAGGAAGCTTGGGCTGGCCCGGCCCCAAAGCTGCCATGGCGGCTATATTGGGAAAGCCTGATTGATTCATTCCAATTCCAAAGGAAAAGCCACTGGAAGGCCCTAGCTGGGGCTTCCCGGGCCCGGGTAAGTTGAACGAACCCAGGCCCAAAACAGGCCTCTCAAGCCTCCCAATACTGCTATGAAGTTGTGAAACTTCGGCTCTGTGATTATGAATAACAGAAGATGCTTGAGCAGTAGCACTAGAAGCTACAGCATTGCCTTGATTGCTATTGCGAGCGGCAGGAACATCATGATTGTGCTTTCCTTCATATGTAGTGATCACAGATTTCAGGTCATGTGAGGCCCTTTCCACGTGCTTCCTTACTGTGCAACCTACGTTGGTGCACTTGTAGTAACTCCTGCACCAAAACCCATCTCTCATCTCATCCATTCTCAACTATGTTGTACATACATGCGGATGAGTGTTTGTGCGCATTTCTATATAAGCATGTTTATACATGACAAGATACAGCTGTAAAGAAATGCTCACCTGGGATTGGGATTTCCTTTGACTACTTTTTGTCCGTATTTACGCCAGCGATATCCATCGTCAAGGATATCCACTTCACTGGTAGTTTGAACAACTACTCTAGGCTCCCGAATAGCTCTAGTGGCTCCACTCAATTCTGCTGTATTTGGATAAGATTCCAGTTTTCTAGGAAGATAATACATATCGTTGATTTTAGTAATTGACAGAGATGATATTTATTAAGAAATTAAAAAGAGAACAATGGATACCTTCTTTTAGATTCTGATTCATCTCCTTCTCCATCATAACCTACTGATACACTGCCATGAGTGCCCCTATCATCATCATCCTCATCATTAGAGAAGGTAGAAGAGGCATCCACTGCATCTCCCGATTCAAATTGGGTACCATTCTGACCCTGCAAATTGGTGGACTGGTTGCCGAATTCAGGGCCCCCAGATGCTGCTGCTGAACAGGTCACTTCAAGGTTCTCATGCTTCCAATCAGCATCACTAGCTGTATTTCCTTTTTGTCTGCTTGCCCAGCCTAGTTCACCATCACCCCCACCATGTGGTTCAGTACTTTCAGATACGTCCGCTTGCATTTCAGAGAGGGGGTTAACAGACCCTATTGCAGATCTGCGATTGGTGGGCGGTTTTGGATGGTTGTGATTCCCCTTGTAGATGATTTCTGTTATGTGGCCCTCATGAGATCGTTCCACTTTCTTCTTTACCGGACAATTTGTAGCCGTACATTTGTAGTAACTTCGTGGATACTCACTACCTTTTACTTGTTTCTGTCCGTACTTTCTCCAGTTATACCCATCTTCAGATGGTGTGCCCCCAACACCCGTAGCCTGTGAATCTCCATTTCCTCCTTGACCTCCCTCTTCATCTGCTGGTTCCTCGACTGATGCTCTACTATCATTTTGAGTGGGAGGATCAGTCAAATCTGGAGCTGAGACCTCATTAGTAAGATGTTGTTCTGGCAGCGTGGTCGGATTCATCTATGGAGAAGATATAAAACTGTGTCATCGCCTTTACATAGTTGTCCAATAATGCATTAGAAGGTAAATTAACTTTATTTAGATAATGAAAATGTAAATGATTACTTTTCTAGCAGCGCCATTATAGAAAGAGCCCGAATCTGTTGTAGTCTTGAAAGCAAATGATGATGCATAAATGTCATCAAAGTTGTTAACTTTAGCTTTCTCAGGAGCACCAGAGTTCGGCTCTAACCCCCGGAAGTTGCCATTTGAGATGAATGGAAATTTTCCAGTTGTTGGAGACGGTTGTGCCTGCAATTAGACAGTTTCTTAATTCAGTAGGGGAATAAACAACTTTGGCAAATTGGATTTTAGCTTCCCAAATATTAACATGATGACTGCTGGTATATCTGGTCGAAAGTATATTGAAACAAGAAAAACGCATAGCTATGCTAGCTGAGGACTCTGACATTTTACTGGATGCCACGTACAGGAGTATGATGTATGCGCAAAATCATAACACTTTTTGCTCATCATAAATGAGGGAAATAGTACCAAGATACTATTACTATAACAACAATAACAGCAAGTCTTATCACAAAAAGTGAGCCTGGCTACATGAATCACATGACGTTATTATACTCTATCAATAATTTATCAACTGAAAATACCATTCATCAGAAGACCCTGTTCTATAACTCGTTGAAGCGATTGTGCTAAGTTATGATACCATAAAAGAGTTATTCATATCACATCTTGAGCATGCACCATATCTCTAATGAAATTTTCAGCCCTAACGTGTGTTGGAAGAAAATAACAGAAAGAGGCAAGCAAGAAAGTTCATGAACTGTAACCAGTCAAAATTCAAGCCATGAAAACTCAAGTTACCCATTAAGGCCAATGTCTTAATTGGGAAGAAGCATCCAAGTCTCCACCAAAAACTACATTGGCAATGTATAAAAGTGTCAAATATTCAGCCACTCTAAGTGTCCTATCCTATCAGACATTTGTATGATGAGGGATAACTGACACTTGCACTTTTCAGCAGCGCACTTCTAACGCTAGTGAACCTCAGGCTCTAGATACCACTTGGTACTTGTCATGGAAGAAGAGAAACAAAGGGGGGGAGAGAGAGAGAGAGAGAGAGGAGAGGGAAACAGAGGGGAATCGAGAGAATCAGAAGATGAGAGAGCTGAATTGCATTTCCATTGAACAACCAAACAACATAACAGGTACAAATGAGTAGGATAGTTTCTATTTATAAGTAACGGCTAGTGAATCTAAACCAACAGAAAAATTATTAACTAACATTAACTAACAATAGACCAATTATAAAATTTACATAACAATCGATTCTTGTTCTGAAATTATTTTGATGCGCCAGAAGGTAAGAGGGAATGGATATCACATCATAATTCTAAATCAAGCAGCTCACATCAAGGTATAAAAACAGTTCCTTTGTAATCAATAGCATCCAGGAAAACCAACAACAGATTATTTTGCATCAGAACTCAATTTCAGAGAGACATCTTCTAATCCACGTCACAAGAATACATTTCCAACTCAAATACCAAGCGAGGACTGATAAACCAACCACAAAACAAAAATATTGCACGTGATGCTTTAGATTCAGAGCTCACTCACCAGTGAATTAGAAAGGAACACTGGAGACTCCAAAAGTGTGGTCGGACTGAGGCCAGGTGGTATGGTGAAGTAAGCAGATCGAGTATCAGAATTCATTGTAGGATCAGCTGATCTAATGCTTTCTGTATTCAACCTTGGGGCATTAAATCCAGCTCTAGCAGCCATTCTTTCAACAAGGTTTCCACGTGAGCTAGACTTGTTCTCAGACAAAGAAGTTGTGTCAGTTAATTGGCCATCAGAAGCGTCATCTTGTGGTGCTGTATCTCTTGTGTTTAAATTTCCACTCATAATGAGCTCTTGATTTTGTTGCAGAAAGGGCTCTTCAGTTCTACCACTTGCAGGAGGCTCTGAGATTTGTCTTGTAAGATTATCCCCACCCAGCATTTTGGAGAAAAAGGTTCTTGGACTCGGACTAGGAGGACCCCAGTCGCTAGTTAAAGGAACATTATCATCAATCCCAGCCATGAAGACCTCAATTTAGGACCACCTAGACTGCAACATCGTATTTCTGAAAGGTTCATAAATGACAAAAACAATGAAGAAAGCTAACATTAACAAATATAAAATGACACTATAATTCCCTAGCCATTACCCATAAAAAAATGGAACTAAAACTGTTCATATGCGTGAGTATGAAATCAAATATGAACTTCGTTTAACTAGAAGCAGAAGGAAGCTAAAGACGACCTCAACAGAGCACTAATTGAAGATCGTAAGAAAGAAATGTAATTCAAGATCGTAAGAATACCATTGGAAGTTTCATCCATAAATTTCAATACCCACAGCCCCAGAAAAAGGAAAAGTAATTCCAGAAAGACTAAAATTTAAGATCTATTCATACGGAAACGAGGGCATCATCCGCTCTTACAGAAGGAAAACAATATACCGAAATACGATGAAATGAGTAAAGGAAGCAAATACTGGTCGCGAAATGTCGATGAACAACATTTATTTGAGATTACCATCCACGTAAGGAGGTGGAAGGTAGCAAAGGGGGGGAGAGAGAGAGAGAGAGAGAGAGAGAGAGAGAGAGAGATAGAATTCCCAATATTACATCAACACACAAATTGTGTAAGACAGAAGGAACCAAAATTAATAAATTAATAAATAAAAAAGGCAAAATGATTAATTGCTGAGTGGAAGGCAATAGGATTCAGAAAAACAATATCAACAAGGCAGGGCAGAGGGAGAAGCATACCAGGGCAGCGAGAGAACCGACTCTGACCCGACCCAGATCCAGAAAAATTGATTGTTGCTTTGTTTCTTCCCTTTCCTCTGAACTTCAGAAGGAAACCTGAGGAAAAAAAGCAAGTAAACGTATGATGTATCCTTCTTCTGGGTCTGTGAAAGATACCTCTGTGTCTTCGAATTTACATCCCCAAATTGAAATGATTATGCTGTGGAAGAAGAAGGAGAATAGCTACAAAAAGAAATTGAATATTTTTATAGCATTATTATTAATAAATAATTAAAAGCAAAAGCGAGAAGGACTTTGTGGGGAAGGTGGAGGGGAAAAGGAGAGATGAATGTGTAATGGAGGTGGACCAGAAAATGGATGGAATCTTTGACAGATATATGGGAGGGAGAGAGAGAGAGAGAAAAGCTTGGATCTTTAATCTTTTTCAGACACTCGCACGCAGTTTGGTTCCGTGAATAATCATTAATTTTGATTTTAAAAGCCAGTAATTTGTCACTTACTGGTTTTGTTTAATAAATAATAATAATACATTAATTGTCGCGTACAAGTATGTAAGTATTTATAATAATTTAATTTATAAATATAATAGATAGATGCTTGTGTTTGTTTGTGTGAGAATGAAGCAGCGTGTTGGAGAAAGAGGGGCGAGTTAATAGTTATCTGTTTTGGTTAAGTTTAATTATGTGTAAAGCTGTCCTGGGATGTCAGATTAAACTCTTAAGCTTAACCACAGATTGCCATTTCATATTTATCTTAGCCTAACCACTCTATTCTCATTCCTTTCCATCTAATTCACATCGCACGCACCTCGGATTTCCGGTTTCTAGTGGCAATCCGTTATCCCCTCTCTCTCTCTCTCTCTATATTTATATATAATATTTCACTATACAGATAATAATGTAGAAAATTTTCCTCCATAATTATACTTTTGTTTTAATATTTATATTAGATTTAATCTTTCTATTATATGCAATACCCACATGACAGTTGGGCTAGTCCCACAATCAAATATCACCTTGAGTCTTTAATATAAGAGTTAGTTTGATATTTAATTAAGATTTAAATATAAGACCCTAATTAATTTTGTCTCTCATATTTATTTATTTTTTTAAAGTAGTCCTTATAGTAGTTGCACATGTTAAATGTTCTATCAAACAGTAGTTCTAGCCAAGGAATAAAAAACCGAACGGGGAATTAAACCAGTTAAAGCAGTGAGTCAAGGGTTACTGGTCAGACCGAGGTCGGATCGGGGTCGAACCGGTCATATTAAAATAATATAATTTAATTCACAATATTAAAATAAAACAAAAATCATAAATAATAATCACTAAAAAAAAGATGAGAAGCTCCAAAGATAGTTTAAATGTTTAATAGTACCAAGCAAACATTAATGAAATGTATATCTTCACTATGGAAAATCAAAATCATTGCTAAGATCATTAGCATGGACTGAGATGTCAACAACTGGACGAGGAAAAGCAGGAGCAATAACATCATCTTGTAAAGGTGGAGGGTCAGCAATGTTCATATCTCTATCACCTATGTAACACTATGATCAATATTAATGATTATGCAAATAATTACATATTTGTATAAGAATAGAGTATTAATTATATATATAAATCTTCATTAGCCCTTTCAAGAGTTGTTGAATTTACAATGCCCTCATTGTTAAGGACAATTTCAAATGTAGTCACATCTCTATCATCAAACTCCGGAATGGGATCTTCTTCAGCCACCCAAAAATCCACCATATCAATGTTTTCATATTCAATTGGATCATAACTTTTGCTTTTCTTCAATGTACTCCTTTAATTACTGTCACACCCCAAGTTTTAGGCCTAAGAATACACGGATTAGCCTAAGATAAGTAGGCTACTAAATCCCTATAAGCAGGAGTCCCAAAAATGTAAAAGGAATGTTGAAGGGTTGCAGGGATTAAACTGTAAATAGAGAAAGTTCTAGAAACTAAAATGTAAAGAAAGTTAGAGGCTCCAGTGAAGTCTCAAGGCCCAGAAATGAGAAAAGAGGTTAGTTCAGACCAAAGGTTATGATAGAGGCCATAATAGGGTGATTTATGAAGTTTACTTGACCAAGGGCAAAACCGTAATTTTGAAAAGTTTCGGGCTAGGAATGGGTAAAAATGGAAGTAATACCCAAAAAATTCTAGAAAATTCCAGAAAATGAAAAATGACATTTTAAGACCTGTATATGAGGAGAAATGATGAAAATGCCCTTGAGTTGACTTAAAAGGAATTTATAAGTTTATGGCTCAGTTTGAGATGTAGAGGTAGATTTAATTGTTTGAGTCATAAGGAAATCTCAAAAAATTATGGTAAAATAGGGATGTATGATCTAAGAGGCTATAGAATTTATAAAATTAGTCTCAATCCTAAAAGGCCAGCAGAATGGCTTTAATATTTTTTAAGGCCAAAACTGCAGTTTATGGGTTTGGTATGGGAAATTTAAAAAGAAATACTTATGGTCTGAGTTATGATATGAGAAAATTCATAGATTTGCTACTGAATTAAACAAATTTTATGATATAAATAGATGAATTTTTGGAGTTCAGGATTGGATAAAATGCTCCAGTCAAATGTTAAATAATTAATGTCTTTTAATTAGGAGGCAAAGTTAGAAAATATCTCAAATATTTTGAGGAAGACAAGTTCAACTTGAATTCTCTTCTTCTTTCCCATGTGCTTCATTTATGAGGGTGATGAGTCATCATATGAGTCACCAGAAGATATTTTATGGGCAATAGAAAAATTAGAATGCAATACTGGTAAGTGTTAGACAGTTCTCTATCTACCCGATAGAGCAAAATTTCTACTATGTGACTAATTGGTCAATAGTGTTGACTATTTTTTTTCCCTCTACTCCTCTAAGGTGGCGCCATATATGTGCCTTTTATTGGCCAATATCAATTATTAAAAATACCTAGAGATCTCAAAAAATTATGAAAAATTAAAAGAAATTTATTTAGGAATTATGGAGATTTATAAAATTATTTCCAATCCTAAATGATAAGGAGGTTAGCTTTAATTGAATTTAAAACTAAATTAATATCGGTAGATTGTTTGTTTTTACGGAAACGGCAATTTAAAGAGTTATATGGGGAGAAAAATTATGAAATTAATCAAGAAAGTTTCCTTTACTGAGATATAATTAATGGTGATCTGATATAAGAATTCTGAGATACTAGAATTTTTCGGCTATCAAATAAAATAAACCAATATTATATTACTACTCAGTAGACTGTCAGGACAACCGGGGTGGTAAAATTTCTGACAAAATGTCAAGGACACATGTCACACCCAAATTGGCTAAGAAAGGAAAAAAGAAAATAAAAAGAAAAAAGAAAAGAAAATACTAAATCAAGTTAGATTAAAATTTAATTAGGGATAAGTAAAATGATTATGGTTAAGTCATCTTCCGTAGGATCGTGACATGTGGCAAACATGGTTCATTGGATGGCTAGGATTTAACCATCTATCTTTGAAAAGTCAAAAGTTTCTAGAAGGGTAATTAGCCAAGTTAATCAAGGAATTAAGAGAGTTAACCTTGGTTAAAGCCTAATTAATCTTAATGGATAAGAAAGATGACATAAGCCCTAGTGACTCACCATCTAAGTGTCGACATATTAAGTCACATAGCCTAAGATTTGTACATGTGGAAAGAGGTAAAAATTGGAGGGCTAAGATTAAGTCTTATGCAAGAAGGGCAAATGTGGAATTAATGAAAAAGAAAGCCTATAAATACCCCCTCCCACATGTTCATTTTGTGTGAAGCCCTTCAAATAGGAAACCTCTTGCAAATTTTCGTTTAGAGAGAGAAAGAGAAGATTTCTAGTGAGAGAAAGTCATTTGGAAGCAAGGTAAGCTTCTACAACTCTCCTATTTCAAGTATAATAATGATATGTGGGTTTTGTGTTATTTTAATAATGATGGAAAGTCATTTTCCTAAGGGGAAGTGCTACCCAAATTTTATCAAAATGATAGGGAATGATTTAGATGAAGTATGGTTAAGATTAAGCATGGTTAGAGGTTAAGGATTTAGTGATTACATGTTAGTTTTGTTGAGAATTCTTTTCCTTATAATTATATATATGGTTCGGCCAAATTGAGAAATGTAGGAGGGAAGATGTTTCAATTCAATTTGATGCTTCTAATGAGTTTAAATGATGATTTAGTGTAGATATATACCAAGAAAGGGATATTGGAAGCAAAATTTTGAACCTATTTATCCCTATGGTTTGGCCAAGTCAAGTTCAATGGGAAGGAATTGGATTTTCATAAAATTAATATGAAAGCCAACAAGGTAGCTTTTGCATTCCATTGCTTGTTAGAGTTACTATACATTGTATGTTCATTGCTATGTGTTATGATGTTATGCCATGATGCCTCCATGCATGTATACCTTGGTTTATGCAAGGTTGAGATGATATGTTATGTTATGATGTTATGTTTTTCCATGGCAAGTACATAATACTCAAGTATGTATGTATGCATGTAGCTTGAATTATATTGTGATGTGTAACCATAGTAATGTATGCAATGTGCTACTAAGATTTCCAAGAATCTTACCCCCATACTTAACAAACCCTAAGGTCTTCAACCTCCAAGAGCAAAGGAAAAGAAGTAGCCATAGTGGAAAGTTAAATTTGCCTCAAGAAGAAGAAAAAGAATGAAGAAAAACCTTATATTGGATGAATGTAATTAAGAGTATGCTTTAAGGTTTTAAGTTATGGATATATGCTAGCTTATGTGTTAATATGTGAAAGCATGCTAGTGTTGTCCAATATGCATGATTATATGGTAGGAGAATTAGTATGCAAGTAATTGGTCAAGTAAGACAATTTATCCTTCCAAGGGGGATAAAAGTCAATATTATGGACCTAAACTTTGACCAAAGTCAAATTAAGCAATCGAGTGAGTATAGCCATGAGATTCGGTGAGCAAATAGATGGGATTTTTCTCTTTAAGATAAGAGTTGGTTTACCTGAATCTGATAACCACACAAGAAGTTATGCCTTTCCAAAGTTGGGCTAAAATAAGTGGAAAATGGAAAAAATAACCATATGAACAGTAACTTTTTCAAGAAAAACTGGGCTTGAATTTTAAGGCAGTTAGTCCATAAACTATTTTCTCTCAAAATTTTATCCAAAGAGCTTTCCATAGAACTTGGAATCACTCGATTTCGATTTTTCTACAATTAGTTATGAATTTTCAAAGTTTGCCACATTTTTGGGTTACAATAAATAATAATCCGTAAAAGAAAATTTTCAAACTTGATTTTTCATAACTTGTAGTCTTCAAAAGTGATTTCA